GGGGCGGCGGTCGGGGCGGGCCACGGTGGGCACAAGGGTCTCCATCTTCTAAGATGTTACGGGTATAAATCAGCAGTTGCCACCATGCTATAATTTTAAATACATGTTTCCCCTTTAAATGTTCTAAAAGAGGAATACTTAATTTTTTTTTTTAATCCCAAAGTCCTCTTCTGAAAGACCAAGTGGTGAGACAGTGAGCATAACTATTTAACGCCAGTGCAACATTTTTAGACTAAAGTCTCCTTTTCACAACCAAGAAACAGGCTTCGGTGTCACCGAAGCCGGTGTCGCAAGGACAAAGCAGTCTATGAAATATTAGACACTTGTACTCATCTACATCTCAGCATGATGTCATCATTCCAGAAAATGAGCCGCAAGCATCCGCAGGGGGAAGGAGCTCCCCACCAACAATGGGACAGAGCTGCAGCTCAACGCAGCCAATAAATTACTTGCTGTGCCCTCACCACGCAGGATCAATGTGAAGGGAGCTGAGGTATGCAGAGGCTGTCTCAAGTGCCCTAGGTGTGTTCCTACCCAACAGTGTACACAAACACTTGGTCATTAGGCGTGTCTGGCATTTGTTTCCCAAGTCAAAACAAAAACACAAATTATCACATATGTGTAGATAGGCTCCAGCCCACATACATATGGCCATATGTCACCGAGTATCACTTCACACCCCTGCAGCACGTTTCACAAACTGCCGGATGATAGTCACCCACGGGCAGGGCCCCAATCCCAGTTTCATTTACTACTGTGATGCAATACCAGGCCTGGAGCCGAGTCCTGAAAAGATGTAACTGTCTAAATTGGGAATGTGCCTCTCCCAAGGACTCTGTAGAACAAGGCTGGGACTGTAACAAAGAGGATGGACATTATTCTGTAAGAATATTCCACTGAAAAAAAAAATCTATCCATAACTAAGATTAACTGAGAAGGGTGAGCAAAACAATTATCCTTTCAGGTCAGGTGTTCAGCAGAAATCAGTGAAGACAAACTATTATACAACTATCAATAGAAAACTAAATTAGCTATATAAAATAGGGTTAATAGCAATTTGAAGTTCTGTCATTACTGAAGAATGTCTTTATTACCAGATAAGTTTCAGAAAATAAAACACATACTATCATAGTATGTCCCCAGTAATAAAAAATGTATACATTGTTCACAAGTTTGGAACATTTTACTTCAATTCTTCAAAGGAACCTTTAAGGATAGAGTGAGTACACAGATGATATCAAAGGTACACCTGAGAATTTTTAATAGTTCTCATTCTGAAATACTTATAAAAGCAAAAATTCCCAGATTTCAGAGGAAGCTGTTCAGCCTTTCATCCAATTCCAAAACAGAGTAACAGCACCCTAACAAATAGAGGCTCAGAGGCACTACTGTACCTGAGCAATAAATAATAAGGGAAAGGTTACTATAATTACTAACACTGCCTTGTTTGCAAGAAGAATGAGAACATTTGTCTAATTTAAAATTAGCAGAGGAGAAGAAGAAATTATTTTATGCATTTATTTTTAGTTTGCTGATTAATAATTGAGAAATGGCAGATTTTTGTGGTGCTAGGGTTCATGTGTTGGTTATTTTAATGAGAATGACACAGTGACTCTACCATGAAAGCTAAGTGGGCAAAAATGGATACACTTTTAGTTCTGATTAGGTTGCAACAATTTATCTTTTGGCAATAAGCTTCTCAAGGGAAAAAAGACTCTTCTGCAAGAATTAACTCACCACAGAATCACTCACTCTATGGATGGAAGAGGAACAGCTGATCAATTGTCATTACAAGCTACTGAACTTTTTTTTTAATGGATTACTGATACTCATAACAGGATGTGACAAACATATATCAGAATATCATATGGAAATATTGCTATCACGGAAGAGCAAGTATTTAACATCAGTGAAACCTATTTCTGTCTCTTTAAAGGCATTATATAATTCTCTTCAGTCTGTATATGTAGAATTGGATTTGCATAAGCTTAAGCAAGAAACAGATTCTCACTACTTTAAAACACTTCTGATATCTTGAACTGACAAACTTTTGATGAAACTGTCAAACATTCATTAAGAGTGCTGGCTTGTTAAGCAAAGCAAAACATGCGCACCACGCAAGGCCTTGATACACAGAAGCATTATACCCTGAGTGAACCATGGTAGCAGGGGCAAGACTGGATGTAGATATGAGCACTGGCACTAAGATGACTCTTAACCTTGCTGGTGGCTGCAACCCTAATGGGCAAGGTGAAGGTAAAATGTCAACTTAGCCTAATACCATGATGTCACTTATGATCAAAAGGTTCTGAGCCACCAAAAAGTGAACCCTTACCCACTCTGTCATCAATCCCGCTCCTTGAAGTGCATCAAGGAGCAAGCCCAGCCTCTATGATATGGATTTTCTTCACAACTTTGGCTCAGACTTCTGAGGGAATTGTTAAATTGAGAGACAGAGCTGTGTCTGTAGAAAGACAGGAAAAGTAAAATTACAAATAGAAGTAGGGTTGTTGAGACAAGAACTCTTAGTAGCACAAGGATTCAAGAGGAAAAATATCAATGTGGAAAGTTACAAAATCCTAAACTGAATAAAACCCAGTTATCTTCAATGGGTTGCCAGTGTTACCCACATAAGCAGATGATACAGGACAACATTAGTCTTTGGCCTGTGCGAGACTTTAGACCTTGTCATTACGGTTGCTATAAATTTGTCCATGACTGTGATTCTGGGCACAGGTCAAAGGTTACACAGAGCTGGGGAGCTAGCTTGGTGTTACTTTCTAGAGGACAGAAGAAACCACAGTCATACCACGCTCCTGTTATATCAAACCACACGCTATACAACCTTCCTGTCATATCAAGATTATAACAGAGCTAAAGAGCTAGCTCAGTGTTACAAATGAGCCACAATTATCCATATATGGGCTGGTCACAAACATAACTGTGTAGTTGTTAAAGACCCCTGTGAGACCAAAAAACCCACAACTGTCTAAGTATATGATAGTTATCAGACCTCCCCATACATGTGTACAATGATTATCAGATCTCTCCACACATGGGAGTGATGGTTATCAGATTTCTCCTCAAAGGGGATAAAAACCAGGTACAAAGAACCCAGACTGTCAGATGCTTCGGGGATCCTTTCTGCACAGAATCTTCTACCTTACCATCTGTCCCAGGGACTCCCCTCTTGCTTGCTGTAAGGATTTTAAGTGTGGAACCTTGTACTCGTGCACTGCTGCAAACTGTTTTATTTTACTGTTCTTTCTAATCTTTCATATATTCACTCTTAATAAATGTTAGTTATACCTTTCTGTCTATTTGTGTATATGTAACTGGGACTGGCAAAAGTTTACTTAGTAGAGCTCACCACAGACTTCAGCTGGCAAGCCAGGTGTTTTTAAGGCACTGTCCTGCAGCAACAAACCAGGTGAACGACAAGTTATTAAAACTGAGGTAGCAATGGAAGCCAACCCTTTTCTTGATGCTTGTTTGGCCAGCAGACCAAAGTGTTTTATGAGGGGGTGGGGACCACACTAATGCCTAATCCAGTGGCTTTTTAGAAGCTTGTTCTTTTGTTAGCCTGTAATCACTTTATATTTTTTAAATTGTATATATTTTACTTGGGAAATTTCTTTATACGCAGTTAATGATGTCCAAAGTGACCCAGAGGACAGTACCAAGAGGTCAAACACTTCTCTGTTAAAATAAGTGAACAGTAGATTTCTGAACAGTATTGACATTTAACTGCTGTCCTCAGGCTTAGAAGTATATAGTGCCTTCAAGTGAACATGCTCTTAAAAACGATTAGAATTCTCCATCCCTGGCAACGTACCAAGACTTTTGTGTGTGTGCGCCAAAAAAAAGCTCTAAGGGAAAGCTTAAATTCTGCACAAGGAGTCAAAAGTTATTACCAATTAGAGCCCAGTTTAACGCCGTAGCAACTTCATTGCCTGCTGCATACCTGAGCGGCGAGCACAGCAGCTCAGGTCCCTGCTGGGAGGCCAGGCCCCTCCACAGGTCTTCCTGAGAGTCCTCCGGGGCCGATCCTACCGCTCTGCCCGGACTTGCAGGCCAGGGCTCAGCTGTGCCCGGGCCGAGACCCCTCTCTCGGTGTAAGGTGGGGGCTCGCGGTGTAAGCGGGAGCAGCTGTCCTTGAGCGTGGCCTCCCACGTCCCCTCGGGGGTCCCCCTCGTCCCCTCAGGGACCACCCTCGTCCCCTGCGGGCAGCCGCACACACTCTCCAGCTGGGCGCGGGCACCCCCGCAGCCCCTCTACGCCGAGTCGGGGGTGTCGCCGGGCCCCGCCCCGGCCCGCACGCCGGAGGCGGCCGCCGGGAGCCTCGGGCCCAGCGCAGGTTTAAAAGTCATCGCTCCCGGCCCGGCCCGGCCCGCTGCGCGCTCGGGAGGAAGAGGGAGGGAGAGCGTTGTGCTGCGTTACGACAGCCGTCTTTGCGGCAGCGGGCTGGTTTCCGGCGTTTGGCGTCGCTTGACGGCAGAAGGAGCAGAGCAGGAGGAGGGAGGACAACAAAGGGGTGCGGGGGGCTGCG